CTTCCAGCTCAAAAACCTGCAGTCCTGGTGGTGATGCATCAGACCTTTGATCCTAATCGAATTGTAGCTGACAGCAGGAGGCAAGTCAACAACCACAACGTCTGCCTCACTGTGGACTGTCTGTTTTATGAGGGTAAACTCCTCAAGTGTTCCCGAAACGACGTCTCGTGGGGTGATATCCAGAAACTCCTGAATATTCCCATTTCTGAGGTAAATACATTCAATAAGGAATGATTGTTTTTCCTATTTTTTCCTAACACTTAATGAACGTTATAGCTCACTCTTTTTTTGTCTTTTTTTTCTGGTTTTAGGCCCCCAAAGATTCGATCAAATGTAAGTGTGACTGGTTTGTTTCTTTGTGCTTTACTCATGCAGACACTTTAGAGTAGAGTTTTTGAATTGATGCCAGGAAATTCAAAAGCCCGCAGTAAAAAACTGGATTACTTGAATAGATTTTTAACATCAACGTTTGGATTATTCTTTTAGTATTGTTCCATATTATTGTTCCATCCATATTGTGCTGTTGTTTTCAGATTCTATCACAGCAAGCGTGTGTAGGGTTTTAAGGGTTCGCTGGCTCTGAATTTCTCTGATCAGCTCTTTTCTCCTCTGTTTTAGGCTGGTGGAATCGTTCAAAGCCAATCGGTTTGTATGCTTTGGGGTTAACCATCTATGTTTCTTGGGAGAATTTAAAATGCATGTGGAGCTTCATAAGTCTGTTGTCGGATCAGAACCAGGAGTCCAGCAAACGTTACCCATCCAGGCCGGATCAGAACCAGAAACCCAGCAAACGTCATCCAACAAGGCCGGATCAGAACCAGGAGTCCAGCAAACGTCAGGTTGGTTTCAGCGTGTATCACAGCTGGCTCTGAATTCCTCTGGTCAGCTCTTTACTCTGTTTTTGGGCTGTGGAATCATCCAAAGCCAATCGGTTTGTTTGCTTTGGGGTTAACCATCTATGTTTCTTGGCAGAATATAAAAAGCATGTGGAGCTTCATAAGTGTGTCAGTCCAACTTGTTAAAATACCCTTTTTCTGAGGATACAGATGTCCACTGTAACATGTCTGTATTATCTCAAAGGCTATCTCAAACAGTTTCCTGTCTAATTTCCAGGCACAAAGTCCATTGTTTCACTTGTGATTTAGAGAGCATCTGTTGAAATTGTTGCTGAACATGGTTTGCCGGCTGAATTTTGTGGAA